AAATCCAAGATTTTCCACAAGACTTCTGTGCAAATCTTGGATCTTGGTTTTGGGCAGGAATGCATTCTCTGGCATTCTCTGGTAGTGACAAAATTGCACTAAGTACATTTTGATCCTGGAATATTACTGATTACCGGCATTTGTTCCTCATTCAATTCTAATTATCAACTAATTCAACTCTAATTTACTTCTATGAATTTTAGTGCACATACAATTTAACTAAATTCTAAGGCAATTCTTATTCCAATTTAAAATCATTTGTATTTCTATTTAAATTTCTAAGTTGAGTCTAATTGAAGTCTAATTGAACTTTAAATGGATTCTAATTTGAGTATGTAACATAGTTCTACTTTAAGCCTAAGTTGAGCCTAATTGAATTCTAATTTAAGTCTATTTAGCTTAACTTCATTGTATAGACAAATCCTAATTCAGTTTTTATTCTAATTTACTCATTTCTATGTTAATTCTATTTATGTTTGGCTATTTTAGATCTAATGGAATTCAAACTTGAATCTAAATTTGAATCTGCAACGTGCTTCTAATTTAAATAGAAAATGATCCTAATTGAACTTTATATAATTGAAATCAAAGTGAGATTGCAAATTAGATATAGTTCAATTCTAATTGAACTTAGATTCCAATTTAGGTCTAAGTCAATACTGTTCTACTAACCAAGCTCTAGGTAAAACAACTCTAATTCAATTCTACCTTAGTTCTAAGTCAATTTGAATTTAAGTAATGGATTATTATTCAATGTTTTTCTTTCAACTCTAATTTAACTCCAGTCTACTTCTAATTTAGTTCTATTTCATTCTATTTTGGGTTCAATTGTAACTTTGACTCTTTCAATTTACTAGTAACTAATTTCTTATGTTAATGCCTGTATACGGTTCAGATTCAATTGTTTTACACATCTAATTTTACACTATTGTCATTGCAAATTAGGTTTGGTTTCTGTATGTCTAATTTCATCCTATTTTGATTCTAGTTCAATGCACATGGACTTCTAATTCAGTTTTGGTGTCATTCTAGAGAGTGGGTGTTGCTGGTGGTGAATTTAATTCATTTAAACGCACATTCTTCTATTTTGGGAAAACCTACATAAAATCTCTCATGTTCAAAGTAACACCACTTCTCTAGAAGTAAATGAGACTTTCACTCAGATTAAAACTAAATTGAAAAAGAAGACACTTTTAGAATTGAATCTGACTTGTAAAGCAATGAAGTTAGAATTAGCTTGAAATCAAAATAAAATTAGGCTTGCATTGAATCCCAAGTAAATTGGAATCTATAGTGATAGACCTTTGAATCAAAATATAGTTTACAACTAATTGAAATAGATTCAACTTTGAATTTGAATATACAAAGTAGAGTAGAGTTGAATAGATTGGAATTTCAGTTTCATTAGAATTAGACTGGAATTTAATTATTTAGGGTTTGCAATTCTTTGTCTTCTGATTATGATGTACTTGCTCAACTGCATTCAATAAGAGGAGTACAATTCACACCCTAAAAACAAGACATATGGTTTTGCATGGAGTTGCAATGAATTAGATTACTCCATCCAAGAACTGTTTAGTAAGCACATAACCTTATGGATTTGGACATTTTTGTAGCAGAAACAGTGTTAAATGAACAAATATGCTTACCAACTGCACACCAGTACTCAGAAACATAGTTCTTTTTTGTTGGGGGGCTAGCATATATATATATATAATACTACATACATAACGTGTACACGTGCGAGCTCAAAAGACATGTCAGTTTCAATACATTTCAGCATCCAACAAATTATGGCGTGTACCGTGTAAGCCATGTGGTTATTTTGCTGGACACTTTGGGCTGCAAGCTCAGGCGAAAAAAGAGCCTGGCAAAGGAGTTCAAGGGAACTGCGAAGGAGGCGAGCGCTGGTGATTCGTTCTACTCTACATGCTTGTGCTGACTGACTCAGCTGAGAACTTTCATCCAGTCCATTTCATCATATTTTCAAGTATGGCCACAGATCCTGGGCACCTGCTTTGCTGTCGGCTGCACAGTGGATGGCCAGAAGCCAGGTTCATTGCAGCAGGCCAGTCAACCCTGTTGATGTGAGAACTGCACTGGTATTGTTCTCTATTGTATATAGCGATAGGTTTTTTCCAACCAGGATGAACAGAGGAATTAGTGTAGCACCTTCAGAAGATCTGATGATCAGACATATGCTGTCCTTCTTGAAGGCTATCGATGATGACGAGTGGGAATTGCCAACTGAGTGAGCTGAGATTGACCTGGAAAGTTTGCAGCGCCAAAAGAACATGATCTTGCCCCGTTGGCTTGTTGCTCCCGTACAATCAGGTTGAAGTCAACATTGTTTGAAGGTCCACCCCACCTTTCTATGTATAATGTATATTATATAAAACTAAATTGCCTGCTCAAAATTGCAAGAACGGTTCCACCGACACAAATTTGATGAATTCTCATTGTTGTTTTGCTTGCGCCCGCAGCATTACTGAAATTTGACCATGGAAGTTCAAAGTGGATTTGAACGCCGAATGCATAATGTCAATCATATTGTTAACTATGGAGCGTCTCAGATGCGTGTGCCTCAAAGCACAGCTCGATCAAACGATTAAGACTAATTTTGTTGGAGCCACTGCTTTGCAGACTGCCTTTTGGACATGTTTGAACATGGCAGTTCCTGTGTTGTTTGGATATTTCGTAAAAGGCAGAACACACTCTGTTATGCGTGTGAGAACGCAAATACTTGACAGTTGTTGACCTTGATGGATTCGGCAGGCCAGACTTGCACAACCAGAGTTCAGTTTGCCAAAAGTTTTTGGCATATCCAGCATTTTTGCTTCATTTTAAAGAAGACACGAGTTGAGATGAAGGCCGCCGGCCAGAGACATGTCAAAACCCTTCGCTGCTCGCGAGTCACTGGCTTGGAGCAAGTACCATGCATACCCATTTCAGGGTGCAAGTGCATTTTTTTAAAATTGGGCACTGCATGGCACTTTCGACTGCTTGCAGCAAAACTAGCTTTCATGACTAGTATCGACCAAGGCCGTCCGGGGAGCCGTGGACTGCACAGACGTTGCGAAGGCCATGGCTGTAAAGCTGACCTTCGGCCAGCATCTGCGAATGCCACTCAGCTGGAGCTCGGGGGACAAGTCATGAGAGTTGAAGAGGTTGGTTGGGTCTAAGGCTTAACTGGACCTTTTGCAGGGATTCAGTCAGACTTTGCAAGTGATTTATATATATTTTTGTGTCGGAAAGTGAACACACCAACAATCACACTCAATAGGTTCGAGAAGCCAGATCTCCCCCTCATTATTATTGTACAGAGGCAATACTTGTTCTTCTCGCAGTGTGTACATGGTCTCAATTGGCTGAGGCTTCCACTGAGGACTTTATCAGTCCATCTGCCAGCATAATGAGTTCCTTTTCTGCATCCATGTATCCAGGTTTTTCCAACAGACACAACAAGACTGCTAGCCAATCAAAGAAAGAGGAAAATTGTTTGCCAAGGCTTGGCTGGAAGCAGTTGCTTGAATTGGCGAGCCCCTAGCCACCTGGCTGCTTGCAAGGATCCGCATTTGACTCAACACTTGTCAAAGGACAAGTCTTGAAACAACGAAGCATCACCAGATTTTGAGCTCTTTGGTTGATGCGTTTGTGTCTGGGGACGCAAACGGCGTTTGGACACTTCCTGGGTGATTGTTGAGGTGATCGCCCTGGCATGACAGACCGTCCTGGAACTGCTGGAAGCTTCAGCCTCCGCAGTATGCGCTCTACGAGTGGCAAGAGATTCTTGGACAGCAGTTTGCCTTTCAACAAAGATCGGAGAGATCTTATATATATATATATATGTGTTTTGAGCGGGCCCGAGGGAAGTTTGCAACACTAACAGAGCGTAGCCTTCTGACAGCCTGCGAATGCAGCAAAACTCTGTAGGGCTCTCGCATTTTTGTATTTTTTTTGATGCAATTCTGTGATTGCGCTCGTGGCTTGGTTCATCCAAGCTGTGGGCTTGTTCGAGGTATGGCAAGCGCCATGAGCAGGACTGAAATATGTTTGTTGGAGTCGTTGAAGGCAACACGCTTTTTCACTGTGGGAAGTCTTGCAGACTCAGGGAGGTCAAAGAGTAAAGTGTAAAGTGTAAAGGTTGTAACCCTTGGTTTGGTCAAGTAAAGCCTTCTTTTCAACCGTTCAAGGCGGCAGTCCAGAAGGCAGAGCTGCATTGCTTTGTCCTTCGACCAGATCTTTTCGCAATCCTTCAGTGCTTTGACCGAGAGATTGAACAAGTCTTTGTGTGTGCTGCTTTTGCTTTCTTGAAGTTGTCAAGTGTCATCCAAAACATCCACATGACCCCCGAAGAACAGAGTAGTGCATCGTACTGCAGATCAAACTTGCAAGACCACCGAATTCCAAAACCTTCGCAACTCAGGCCTTGGAAGCCTCCTGACCTCCGGTTACAAAACAGGTAAAAGCCAACAAACTTACATGTGACAAGACATCATTATATACATTTGTCGATCTAGATCTCCGTGGAGCTCCAAAGGGTCCTTGTCTCCGACAAACTCCCCACACAATCTAGAATCGAGAACACTTCCAAACACAGCATTTGTCCATCCATTAAGTCAAAACTGACTGATTGAACACATGCCAGTGCAGATGCTTAGAGGAACTGTGTCCACCAAGGCAGAGCGGCAAAGAGAATGGCATGCGAAAGAAAAGAAGGATGCTTCTGCCATTCCAAAGCATTTTGCGGCTTTCGGTTGTTTTACTTCCAAAATGTGGGAAGAAACGGTCTGAGACATCCACACAGTGGGAAGACCATGAAACGAAGAAGCGTCCCCGTTGCCCCACCTGTCTGATTCCGCTGCAGGAGTCAGACCAGCTGGGAACCCAGATATTGATGCTCGTACTTCATTGTGTGACTTACCCAGGCCCAAGCTGTTTTCTAATGAGCGTACTGTCATTCAGTTGCTTCAGGGAACTGCTCTGCGGGACAGGAAGCAATATAGGCAGGTAGAACGGTTGTTGGTCCAAGTCTCTCGTGCTGTCGAAGTTTGGATCCACAGCTTACTTGCACTTGCTCAGAGCTTGTTCATGGCAAATGCCTTGTTGGTCACGGACATCATATAGGTTCTCATTTTTTTGCCTTTTGGGAAAGTTGTGTCAGGAGCCTGCATTGTTGGTGGACCATGGCAGAGCTCAAAGTGGCAGAGGAGGAGCGGAACATGCCTTCATTTCACTGAGCATAATACTGTTGACCGTTAGCCTGACTGAGGATGGGAAGTCTTAAAGCCTAAAAGGATTGCTGTGAGACAAGCTTTTATGAATTTTGAAAGCATGGAGTTTAAGAGTCTGGCGAGAATCGATTCTTCAGGCTGGTGTTTCTGATGGCAATCAATCAGATGGGAACTCTTCCTCCTTCGGAGATGACCAGAGCATCTTTCCTGCACGAGAACATTCAGAGCCGTTTTTAGTATATGACTCCCAACAGCCTTGTGAGGACTTTGCCATGATGTTTTCTCTCTTAGATTCACGAAGTCTCAAGAGGAGTCAGAACGCTAAAATGCTCAGATAAGAATTCGTTCGCCGACGGCGAACCAACATTCCCACGTTGTGCATTTCGTCCAATTCCCACCTTTCTCTGAGGTGGAAAGGTCGTTGCAGTTCGCAGTGGAGCTCAGGGACTTCAAGCTCGCCGCATGAGTGTCGAAGCGATCTTGGAGAAGCGAAGGACTTCGTTCAATAAAGCAGCTAAAGCAGTGGCAGTAGCTGCTGCCGTGACGGCGGTCGAGGCACTTGTGGCACTTGTCATACCCCAGCTTGCTTTTGGCCCATGCTTTGAGACGACGATGCATTGGAAGCAGTTCTTGACTCCCCATGGTATAGTTACTCTATGTGTTATATATAGTATAAAAGGCCTACTGTGGCCCATGATGTTGATTCTTGGGACTTTCTCCCCTTATAGTACACCTAACAGTGGCTCAAACTTCAGAGTCACCTCCTGCTTACTTTTGTATAGATTTGTTCTTTTCCTTAACAACTCTACCCGGTTCCAAAAACATTGAGCCAATGTCCCAGGTGGCGCCTCCTCCTGAAGAATCTGACAAACACCGGAAATTCAAGAAGGCCAGAGGCAAGGCCTGCTATGTGCTGTAGTGCTTGCCGCCTTGCAATGAAAGGTAGATAGCAAGCGACTGCTAAAAATCTGGCAAGATGTTTCGTTCCCACGATCAGTTCATTTGAATGTTCTTTTTCCGGCAGCATTTTGATGCAGGAATGACGGTGGACATCACTGAGCTCCAAGATGCTGATTTGGTGGCCTCTTTGGTTGAAAGGCTTTAGCCGCTCTGGTCCAACGGCGAATGAGTTGAAAAAGCAAACATTGGCAACTAATCTGAACGATTCTCGTTCAAGTATCCTTCAACGAAAAGGTTCTCTTGAGTAGCAAAGTGAAGGCCAAGCCAGTTTCGGTGCGTAGACTGCGTTCTTGGTGAAAAGCTTTCCTTGGAGATCATTTGCAAAATTCGTCAACAAACAAAGCTGTCATTTGTCCAGTGACAGTGTAGTGGTGCTCGCGAGGGCCGAACATTGTAGCCCACAGAAAAAAGAAGTACTGAGCAGTAGCAGTCCTAGTGGTATTTTTAGTCAAGTCGAAGCAGTAGCAGCAGTAGGAGTAGCAGCAGCGGCATATTCCACCATCAAACTTTTTGAGCACGGTTTTGGGGAGTGTACACCTCCAAGGAAGCAGTTTGCCTACCATCAGCACTCTGGCATGCAGCATGCAGAGTTCCGGTACATATTTGCCTGTGGTGGGGGTGGTGGTGGTGGTGGTCGTAGTAGTAGTAGTAGTAGTAGTAGTAGTAGTAGTAGTAGCAGGAGTAGCAGGAGTAGCAGGAGTAGTAGTAGTAGTAGTAGTAGCAGTAGTAGTAGTAGTAGTAGTACTCGTCATCGTAGTGGGAGTGGGAGTTGGGTCAGAGTCGGAGCAGGAGTAGGAGTAGAAGGAGTAGGAGGAGTAGGAGGAGCACGAATAGTAGCAGGCAGAGGAAGAGGCGGAGGAGGAGCAGTAGGAGGAGCAGTAGGAGGAGCACGAGTAGTAGTAGTAGTAGTAGTAGTAGTCGTAGTCGTAGTGGTAGTGGTAGTGGTAGTGGGAGTGGGAGTGGGAGTGGGAGTGGGAGTGGTAGTGGTAGTGGGAGTGGGAGTGGGAGTGGGAGTGGGAGTGGTAGTGGTAGTGGTAGTCGTGGTAGTAGTAGTAGTAGTATAATATCGAGGAGTGTGGTAACCTGGTAGCAGG